ATCTGCCTTTATACTGTGCCATGTCTTGGGCCCAGTGGTTAAGACTCCTTTTGTGTAAAATACAGTAGCAACATTATATTTGTATTTTTTTGATTACATAGTTGAAAAACACTACGTAAGTGCAAAACATTATTCATAACATCATAACACTACTACTAAGTGTAAAATAGGTATTCAAATGGAATACATCAATGCTATTTTAAAAAAAGAGACAACTTTTATAGAAGTCTCATTGGCATGAAAGTAAAATAAGATTTCTGCACAAGAAAAAAATACACACGATCTTTTCCAAAAAGAAAGATACCCAAACAACAACAACAACAAAACCACAAAAAACCCAAACCAAAATTGTCTGAAAAAAAATTAATGTAGTTTTTTAGGTTAATTCTAATGCAGTACTTTCTTTTCTACTTGTACAAGCATTGGCAGTGTAATGCAGATAAATTTGTATATCTGCTGCATTGTTTGTGTTTCTCAGAGCTGATTTTTTTTATTTTAAAATGCTAATATGCTTTGACTATCTGTCAAATTGAACTTAGTGTCTAAAACATTAGGTGTACTCTGAAAATATAAGATTGAATGGGGAATATCAAAAGTGCCCTTATAAGTTCAAATACACAAGATGAGATAAGACTGATCCAAAGGGCAATGCCAGAGTCAATCCAAAGGGTATCAATGAGGCTGCTGTTTTTCATTTGCGGAAAGTCATAATGGTTAAGAGAAGTCCCTGACAGCTTGGAAAATGTTGATGCTACTCGCATTCTTAAGAAAGGCAAAAAGAAAATTAAAAGTACTAGAGACTTACCAATCTCATATGACTTGGGGGAAAGGTCCAAGCACATCTCTAAATATATTTCCAGACATGCAAAAGACAGGAAAATAATCAGAACTACTCAACATTCAGATTTACCAAGGGCAAATATTTTGGGTTTGACCTAATTGTATTCCTTTATGAAAAGACTGTTTGGAATAGAGAACAATGGGTGTAGCACACCTTCAGTTTAGTAGAGATGTAGAATTAATCTCCCCAAACAGTCTCATTTGGAAAATGCAGAAATCTGGACTGGATGAACAGACTGTTAGGTGAGACTGAAGTGCAGAGGGTGGTCTCTTAGAATCTAGCTGGCAGGTGTCAAGGAGTACATCACCATGAGGGGTTGCTACTAGAGCCCATGTTGAAGTGCAGAGTTCAGCACCCAGACAGGACAACTTGAAGCGCTGGCTCAAGCCAGCAAGTGACTGACTGGGTCGCAACCATGCTGGAAAGAACCTGGGAGCTTCGGTGGACTGTGGCATGGATAACAGCTAACACTGCGCTCTTCATCATAAATAAAACAGTGTGCCAAAGTGACTGTAGGTAATGAATGAAGTGGAATGCTAGGAGCCTGGAGGAGGCTACTAGGAAGATGGCTCAGGCCTAAAGCACATGACCATTAATGAGAGCTTGAGGAGGCTGAGCTTGCTGAGTCTAGTGTGGAGGAGGTAAGAGACAATCTGAAGGCATCCTGCAGCTAGGAAGATTAGTGACAAAAGACAACAAATTTAAACCTTTGACAGTGGTGCCACGCTGTTTAAGGAGGGGCAAGGGTCCCTGGCTGGGAGGTTCAGATGTTCACATCAGGAAAATTGTCCTCATTAGGAATGTGGTAAAGCACTATAGTAGGTTATCCACAGAGGGTGGTGAAATTCTGTTGTTGGAAGATTTTGAGATTCAGAGAAAGCTGTGGGTAATGCGATCTAGTGTTGATTAATAGTTCCATTTTGAGCTTGAGGTTAGGCTGGACAACCTTATAAAGGTCCTTCCAAAAGGCTGTTCTCTGACTCTGTGAAATTACAGAGAGATTGATCACAGAAATTTTGTCTAATTTTAAGAGTAGAAGGAACTAACAATTTTGAGATACAGTCCCTGTGCAACATTCCAGTGGAGGTTAATGAGGATAAAACGTTGTTCCTCTTCTCTGAGTTTTTAATGGGTTTGCATCCTATGTCCCACATTGCAATTATTCCCATTGTTATATTTTGGATATAATTCTCTCCTCTTGTCTGACTTCAGTCATTTCATCTTCTTCCAATTTATGTGTCCTGCACATGCTGTCAAAACTGCCACAGTCTTGCACAGCTGGGCAAGTAGTAGCATCTAAGATGTCTGTCTTGAAAATAGTCTTGTATGTCTGGATAAATAGCAGAAGAATCAGAATTTCATAAATGTGAGCTCAAGCTCAAACTTTCTTCACTGGAAGTACTACTTAGGCTCTTTTCCAGGATTTACAATATTTACTATGACTTACTATTTTCTGAAATTGTTTGCTGAAGCTAACAGTTATTATGGCAGGAAAGAAGAAATGAACGGATGGTGGATGATTACCAGGATTACCTAGGAATGTACTGTTGGCTCTAAGAAACCCAGACTGGGAGTTTTGCCCAACAGAATCTTGGATGCACATGGTTAGAGGGTGAATCTTAATTTTAAGAGCTCTGTATGTGTAGGAAGGAAGGCTGACTTTAGGATGGAGAATGGAAAAAGTGGATCAACACACTAATGAGTTGACAGAGATGTGCTTTTGTATCAGTAAGAAATTAAGAAAAGAAGAAATTAATTCCAAGAGAAATTTATGAGGTTTAAAATGATTTGCAGATCAGTAATGGAAAGAGAAAGGGATGACAAGACCAATTTTATGACTGAGGAAGTAGAAGTTGTACATGAAGCTAATCAGAACAGTCTAATGAGTAGATGAACATTGACTGCAAGAAAATGTGTGGTTTTGTAAAGGTAATGTAGTAGAGATATCTTGTCATGCTTTATTGCTTGGTTCTGATACTTTGGCAAACAGAATAAAAGGACAATACAAATACATATTAGTAGTTTTCAAATGAGTACTTCCTTTTGTCTTTTCCATATGTTATCAAGAGTGTAGAGATTAGAATTTTGCCTTGAACAAGAAGTGTTAGATTTTGGAATATAACCACACACCCCAAATACCTATTCTACTTTAAAAAATAAAAAAAACTTGATACATTGTTATTTTTCTGCCGTTGTGAATTATTAATTGTAAATGAGCACAAAAGAATTTGTAGTATAAAACTAATTGTAAAACTCTCTTATGATGAAGTTCCTGGTCTGTAAATTTTAACTTTAAATGATTTTTTTCCCTGCGGCTGCTATAAAGTCCTGAAGCTAGTGGAATATAATCAAAAAGCTTCTCCATAGCAGTAGGCTCAGCATCGCTATAATTAAACCCTCCTCGCCTTGATTTACAGCCAGTCTTACTCCTTGCTGGGAGGGAGCTTACTCATCGATGAAGATGGCAGACCAGGGCAAGGTTTCAAGTTGGGAAAGACGATTTCTGAACCTGATGTAGCAAAGACTGGAAGCACGATACAGGGAATAAAGAGTGGCGAATGGAGGAGTTTAGGGAGTAAGAACCCATTTTTAACCCACCTCAAAGTTCTCGGTGAACTGGGATGTGTGTAACTTTGCTACCTGCCGTCTCTTGGCAGTGAGAGTCCCCCTGGGGGGAGTTGTGTCCGGCCATCAGCCACGGCCTGAGGAGGTGAGAGGCGCTCCTCGAGAGAGGCGGGATGAGCAGTGGCAGGGAGAGCCCCTCCGCATTCACGTCTGATGCCGTTCCCATCCCCGAGCTGTGCCGTCACCCGGGCCGTGCTCTGCCCCTCCTTCTGCACACTCCAGCGCGCCCCATACTCCGCGGCCCCATACCGGCTCCGCTCTCCCCCGCTCTGGCTCCCGCCTGGCTTTAAATATTCCTAGAGGGAAGCCACCCCCTCTCCTGCACCACCTCCACCACCTCCTCCTCCTCCACCTCCTTCTCTTCCTCCTCCTCCTCAACCCCTCCGCCCCATTCTCCCCGCCTCCCCTCTCGAGAGGCAAGACCCGGCGGCGCGGCGGCCCCAGCCGCTCCCACACCCGGGCGAGGGGTGGCGCGGCAGGAGCTGTCCAACTTTTCAGCACAGTTTCGCCGGCGCTTCCCCCAGGGAAGGTGGTGGCCGCCGCCCCTGCCCGCCCAGCGCGGCCCGACCCGACCGGCGGCAGCATGGAGGCAGAGCACGGCAGCGGCTTGTCCGCTATGGCTGGCGGCAGCGGCAGCGACGGCAACAGCGACGGCGGCGGGGGCAGCGGGAGTCTGAAAGCCCCCAAGCATCTGTGGCGACACGACGAGCACTACCCGCCGCAGCCGCGGCAGCACCAGTTCCTCCAGCACCAGCAGCAACACCCCGGGCAGCCGCCGCCGACCGCATCGCGGGGCCGCTGCCTGGCGGGGGCTCGCGTCAGGCACCGCGGCTACTCCGACACGGAGCGATACCTCTACTGCCAAGCTATGGACCGCGCCTCCTACGCCATGGAGACTGGCCACCGACCCGGCTTGAAGAAATCGCGGATGTCTTGGCCCTCCTCCTTCCAGGGACTCAGACGGTAGGAGCAGGCTTGGCCCAGCGCTCCGGCCGCGGGTGTGGGGGCGCGGCAGAGGGGCCGCTGTCGCGCCCCCCAGGGCTGCTGCGGGCCGCGGGGAGCGGGAGCGGCGGCCGCCGAGGTGTGGGCACGACGGGACCCCCCCGTCCGACCGTCCTCGCTCCCCGCGGCTGGAAGGAGAAGCAAGGGGCGTCTCGCAGTTGCGGAGGTTCCGAAAGGGAGGTGGGGTCGGGCTGGGCAGTCGTGCCAGGAAGCCTGGGCTGGGACGCTGCGAGCACCCCTTGGACAGGGCTCGCCTGGAGCGAGAGTGACCGGGGCACAGGCTGCACCGTGTCGTCCAATACATACCTGTCTGTGCGTGGAAAAGCGATCGCGAAACACGTGGGTGGGAGCGGGACGGCGCCTGTGCTAGCACAGAGCCGTGAGCGGGCCGAGGAGCGCGGCCCCTCTTCCCACCGCCTCCCGGCTCCGCTCCGCTGCCTCCCCGGCTGCCCCTCCTCGCTGGAGCTGCCCGCGCTCCCTGGGAACCCTCAGAGCTGGTGCCGAGTAGGAAGGACGCCTATTCGTGTGATGTTCGCACAAAAAATAATGAGAGCTCAGGGAGCTGGGAGACAGTGTGGCAAATGCAGGGTTAGGGTCCTGTTAGTTTGAATGGGTTTAGTTGAGAAAATAAGCTAATGGTTTCTTAGCCAGAGGGAGGAGTCCGTCATCTACTAGTCTATTGTTCCCCGATAAATGAGCTGTGGATTTATTTTTCAGTGTGTACAGCTCACCAATGCTTATTTTGCCCTTGATGGCTATCACAGGCATCCGTTTTAAAATGAAATTCTCTGTCAAAATCTGTAGGATGTCATATTTGAATGATCAATTTATTTTTCGGTCATCGTTTTTAGTATCTGGAACCACTTCCTTTTAGTGGAAAGCCACACGCTTGCATTTGAATTTTAAACAGACATTGTGAATAAAGGATTCATGGAGAGAATGGTGGGCAGAGGAGCAATACTTCATACTGAGTTACTCCACAGATTTTTGATTTCCGAGATATTTAGATTTTTATAGTGCGATATGCTTGATGAATAAGTAATAGAATCCTTTCTAAACAAAGATTTCTTTGTGTGTTTCTGTGGTGCACACTGTATTCTGTATTATGGAGCCTTGGCCATAAATCTGAACAAGACATACTTCAATATTCTCTGGCACTGTTAGATCTATCTCTACCTAATGTTGACTTCATTCCCACTTCATATATAATTAGGAAATAAAGAGAGATCTGGCAATTGTAAATTAGAACTGTATTTTCAAATCAGTAGTCTTTAAAATGTATCTTTTAATATCTTTGATTTTCATGCAGTCATTCTGTTGATACAGCTTTGTATCACTTGTGTGAACTCATGCTTGTCTGAAGTTAATGATTTTTCACGATGTAAGATTTGAAAACAGAAATCATATGCTTCAAAAAGTATCAAATGTTCAATTTAAAGCTTTTTTTAATACATTCCTCTTTCTTTTATATAAAAAGTCCTCTAAGTGTCTAGGGTTTTTGACCTTTAAGACTGAATGCATTTCTGTTCTTTAAATGCCAAGAAGTTTATTTTTATAAATTACATTGGTTTGTTTGAGTATATACAACACTATTCCATAAGTGATTTAGTTATTGAGAGGATGCTAACTCCAGGTGGGAAGGGAGAATACACATACTGGCTTTTTTGTTAGAATTTTAGGACCATTTTAAATGACAATTCATATGATGCCTAAATAAGAAATTCAGTATGAACATATTTTGGTTTTTTAAACTTTTTTTTAAAAGTGCAAAAATGTTTTGACAAGACATGCTGCTTTAAAATTAAGAGAGGCCAGTAGATTTTATTTTATTTCTACAGGATTGGTAAATATGCCTCAAATGTGCCTCCTTTTTAGAAGTAGTAAAGCAAAGCAGAGTAAAATCGCCCAATCTGATTCACCATTCCATGAGTTTCTTAGAATAAATTCTCATGATGAAATGAAACAAACAGCTGTAGTGGAGAAATACAAAGCAGACAATAACAAATTGCTTTAGAAATATCTTCAAGAAATATCAGAAAAGGCTGGTCTTTCCAGGGCTTTAATGCCAACTTTTCAGTCAACTCCTGGTTTGATTGTAGTTTTTTGCATAAAAAGAAAAGCCAAACATCTTCTTAGTATTATTGTAAAAGTGGAGACTTGCAAAAAAGCCCAATATTTTTGTGAAGGGTACCTATCCTTTTTTTAAGTATTTCAATTTCCCATTTCATATTAAGACTTCTTTATATTTCTCCCTTATTTAACCTATTTCCAAAAAAACATTTCTGAAGGGATTCCCATGGATTTATCATGGTGCAGGGTGACAAGCTTGTCTTTCAGAAGATCTTAAATTGCTCTCAATATTGTGTATGGAACTGAATAGAACTGGAGAAAATTGTGTATAGAAGTATGGAAAACACATCAGGTGTTGGGGATAGTATTAACATGACTGTCTCAAATGCACGAAAATTATATCTATGAAATTGTTTCTCCAGAATTTGTTTTGTTTCACTCTAACAATACTATAATTCTGAAAACCTCAATGAAAGCCATATTGAAACACTCAAGAAGTCAAATATACAGCTTTGAAGTATTTTCTATTTTAAGTTTGGCAGAGAACAATAGAAATAGAAATATTTAAGAGTTACATTTTTCAAAAGAAATGAGAAGATATTACATATGTTAAAATTTGATTTAGAACTGACTAGTATATCTTTATTATTCAAACTGAAGAGACAACATTTAAAAGGCAAGATCAAGTAGCAAAGATTCTAAACAGAGCAAATTGAAAAACACAATGTGATTGTAGTTTGTGATATTACGTATTATTTACAATCTTTCTAGTGCTTTCTCTGTCTCTTTGTGACCATCAGTAACTGTCTACACAACTTATTTAGTACAGCACTATATTTCCTTCAAGGAATATGGTGTTCTTTCATTATACAGAAGACTGTATCAGAATCATTGACTATTCTTAAAAGTCAAGATTATTTCCAAATTTTCAAATGAGAAGGTAAGTGCTTTGAATTCATATACATAAGAGCTATACAAAAGCCAGAGGAGCTAAGAAGACAGCTGGCACTATCTACGATCAGCTTTTTTTGCCAGTTGTTTATTGTGTGGTCTTGTTGAAGTCAGTTAATCTCTCTTTAACAACGTTTTCTCATATGTAAAATAAAATCAGAAATGGAGTAATTACAGGTTCATGTTAAAGATCATAGAATAAAAGGTACTATGTAATAATAAATGGTAGTAGCAGAATTGGGAAATAAATACTTCAACTCAAATAATTTTCCAATCAACAGTGCAAAACATTCAGTGTAATAAATGAAGCTGTTCTGGTTATGTTCAGAAATTGCAGGCACCTCTACGTGCTTTGCACATTATTAGCATTATTGCATGGTCTATATATACAGTTTAGTTGTTTAAAAAAACTTAGCATTTTTAAAGGCCATTAGTCATATGTCAATTAAATCATCTTGCCATATCATCTTTCTATGTTCTATTTCTCACTACTGAAATTTCAGACTGGAAAAGATAGAGCACTAACACCACCAGTCCTAGTTCCAATAGCTGAGGAATTTCCCAGGATGTTGTATCCTTAAAATAAATCCTAATATCTTAGAACTTTGACTTCTTTTAATCAGGTTTCACAGATCATTATTAGTTTACAATAGGTCTTCTGTAAATTTTATCTCAATGTATTGATCTAGGCTTCTTCATGAAATCAGCTTTTTGTCTATACTTATATGCAAACCACTGCACAACAGTGAGGAAATATTAGTCTTTTACAATCCAGTAATCCTTGTGCTTGTTCCCAGTTGCTGTCTATTTGAAAACCTACTTTGATAATTGATCATTAAAATTAGTTGCTGTCAAAAAAAATCTCCTTGCTCTCTTTCCATTTCTTCTATGGGACTATGTCTAACCTGGTAGCATCTATTACTGCATTGCTTACAAATGAAGAATGCTCCAGTGTATGATTATTTTTCTTCAGGTGTCAATCTTGCCTTTATACCACTCACTAATTGTAAATAAACTAAAATAATATTCAAAATCGAGTGCAGCATAATATTTCAATTGCCCAGAGGCTTTATTCTCAATTAGGAGCAGAAATGAGTGTTGTGTGTTTGTGTCTTGACTTTCTGAAGTCCGGAATATTGTATGCCACAGTAATCTTTTAGATAGATAAACCCTCAGTATTTGTGTCTACCTATAGAGTCCCTGAAAAAATAATGAAATTTTTGCAAATCTTGGCAAATATCTGTTTTGTTCTCCAATAAAATGTATACATCTCTCCCTCCTGAACCCCATTCGTTCTTCCTGCTTGGTTTGGAAAGCTGCTCTTGATCTAATATGTCCTAGCTACTTCCATACAAATTAAGGGAAAGGAAGAAGAGTGTTCTCCAACTTAAAGGCCCACAGATAATGCTCTCAGAATTTAGTAGCAATGTCTAACTTAATTTTTTTTTGTTTACTTGGCAGTGTATTATTGCTTTGTTTACTACTAAGCAGTACTGGCACCCAAATGTTAAGATAACTGGCATATGCTATCTCTCCCTCAAAAACACAAATACATTTTAAAGTTAGTAAACATTATTGAATTAACGTTCTTTGTGAATTGTCCATAGAGATAAATTAAATAAGAAACATAAGTTGTCAAATATTGTCAAAGTGACTGTAAGGGTGTCATTTTCTTGTTGTGAAATACTTGCGTTTTTTGATTGTTAGGGTTGTGTGACCTGAAAAATAGGAATAACATTCTTTTCATGCTTCTAAAATTCACATATCTGAATATATTTTATTATGAATGTTGCTGAGAATGAATGGTTCAAATTTTTAATTTAGTGAGTATAGATCTGGTAATTTAGCAGGATAATATCTTCATAATCAAACAGAGAATAATCAGGATTTAAACACTTTTTCTTTGACATAGCCATACGAAGTTCTACCTTAAAATTATT